GAGTCCGATGGTTGTGGGGTCAAGTTGCATGTTGGGACTTTAATCTCAAACTCAAGGCTGACCCTCAGATACAGTGCTGAGGAGGCTGACCTGTCAAAAGTGAGGTCCATGAAATGGCAGACTGTTCAGGTGACGTTTTGAAAAGATTAAGAACATGTGACCAACGTCTGGGTCATCAATTCTCCAGATAAATGTGGTTATTCAATTCAGGACTGTTTGAGAGCTAATTTGTTACTGTTTTGGCTACAAAATCAGGCATTATGTTTCATAGACGCTTCAGTAAATACAAGGATTATTATACAATACAATACAAAATTACATTTGTATTGCATTTTCACGTCGGGAGGATATCACAAGGAACTGGGACATCCTTATAAATATAATTATTCCCTGAATATCTGTTTACAACACCTCTGATCCTTGCAATGAATTCAACTGACTGAGATACCCAGGATGTTTACGATTTAATGAACCTCTTGTTAATTTATTCTTTGATTCACGGAAGCTGAAAGACACAGTGCGATGACACCTTTTAACTGACAAGCACTGCGATCTTGCCTCTCTCACAGGTAGATCCCAAAAATTCTGTGTCTGATGTCTCTAAACCTTTTCCATTGGGAAAAGCCATCTGCTCCTTAATTCTACCATTATAAATTCAGAAGAGCACAAATCCAATCCAGTGACATGGTGAAAGCTGCCTTAGACCACTCTGAGAGGTTCGGCTGACTATCTTGAGGGGAGGTGTGTAGTTAATAATAGTTATAATTGAGAAACAACATCACAATAACCTAGGATTCACAGTGCATACAGACAGGACAATCAGGTGCAACAGGCCAGATATTATAAAGAATCAAATAGATTGTACATGTAGTATTGTTGATGTGCCTATCCCAAGTGATTATAAAGTACAAAAATAAGGAACTGGAGAAAATCAGGAAATATATCAATCTACAAAATGAATGCGGACATATGTGGCAATGTAAAACAAACATAGTTCCTATAATTATTATCTACTATAATTATAATTATGGGAGCGTTACCCAGTAAACAAAATAACAACCTCCTGCAAAAATTAGCTATTTTAGGAAGCTCAAATATATTAAGAAAAGTAACATCTATTCATATGTCAAGTGGTAGAGTTTTTGGTCTAACTGACCCATCACTGAAAACCACTTCGAAACTATCTCTACAGAATGATTTAAACTGTAATAACACCATCATCATCATAATAATAATACAGCAACAACTTGAATTTATATAGTGCCCTTCACACTCCTCACAAATTAGCACTCATTAATTTAGCATTTGGATGCCCTGAAATGCTTTATAGGATATATTGTAAAGTGGAGTGGCTGTGTATTTTGTAAAGCATTGGGTGTGTTTCTTGGACCTTATCTGTTGCTGGGTAAGATACTGTCCATATGAAATAACCAGAAGTGCCCGCAGCTCGAATGTAGCTCAGTTTGTAGATGACTCCAGTAAACAGGGAGAAGATGAGAGTTGCAGTGACATGCTGTCTTTTGTTCATGCAATGTTCAAAATGTGATGTTACTTTATATCTCACTGGTTCAGAGATGAGCGCAAGCCATATGAACAGTAATGAACGCTGATCAGAGCTGTGAAAAATTCCACAAGCTCTGTGGAAGTGCAATAAGTACTCGGTGAGAAAAGAACCTTTTTACAGTGTGTCAATGTATGAGCAAAGCTCATAAATACTCCAGAGCCAACTAAAGTACTTTTAGCCAGCAGTAAAAATATAACTACCTGCGTATCAGCAGTTTGATGTTCTGCCTTCATTCAGCTATTGCAAGTTGTGGTCTGGCAAATCTTCTCTGCGTCAAATTGGTTATTCTGTTGTCCTTTCTGGCCTTTCTTGATTTGTTAGCTTTTCTTTATCAAACACTTGAGTGCTTTTCAACAACAATATACATTTATATAGTGCCTTTCACATTGGAATGATATCTCAAAGCCCTTCACTCAGCTGACTGGGATCCCAAGCTTGGTGTGGGGGGGAAGCTAAAGATGGGGGGCAGTTGGGGAAGGAAGGTACCCGAAAGTGCAGTGAACAGCATAGACAAAAAGCTAGGTTTTAAAGGTGGAAAGGGAGGGTGAAGAAGGAAGGGAATGAGTTGAAGTTGCAGAGACCGGGAGCAGAATTGCTGGAAGCTCACCCACCGATGTTAGGGCATATCGGGAGGGGGAACATGAAGCTCGCCTGTGCTTGCTGAACTGGTGAAGTGGTCAGTACAAGGGTGTCACAGAAGGACTCTGAGGTAGGTTGGAACAAGACTGTGGATGTGTCTAACTCTCTGACTTTCTCTGTTCTAAACTCTTGTGCTGAGTTGCAGTACTACAGTGTCTTGACCAAGTAGCTATTCTTAATTATTAGCCTTGATTGTGAGCATTGGCGGAAGGTGAGGTAGGACAAATACAAGACGAAAATTCTGAAATATCGCTGGTGCAAAATGTAGCTAGTGCGAATAAAAGTACAGGAGCACAAGTCGTCCTACAGTCAATGGTCTTGCAGTCTTTTTGAGCTAAGTCTTGGATATCATTTGCCTTTCTAAAAGAATTATTTAATCACCTGGTTAATTTTCATTTTGTGTTAATTCCTGCCACCAAGTCCTAATGATGTTATTCTTTAATGCTGTTCTGCTATTGTTGCCGGCTGGTACGGTATAAACCCCTCAATTTAAACCACAGTTGTGTAGTTGACACTGAGCTGAACCCATGAATAATCACTTGGAAATGGTGATAATTACTATCCAAAAGCAAGTGATTAGTCACGGGAGTTTGGGCACTAACAATATAAGGTGAAAGAGGTACTCATTTCAATTTATCACTCATGTTTCACAGTACACAGCAGCACTTGGATTGTATTTCTACTTTGAGACAAGCCTTGGTTTCAGGACTGAAATGAAATGTTGTAGATTCGTGGAAATTAACACAACTTGGCTTGAATACATTACCTGAACCATTGTACTTATTTGACATAGTGCCTTTCAAGTCGGGAGCACGTTCCACTCCAAAGCGCTTCACAAGATATACAGTAAAGTTGAGTGGGCGAATTCGGCAGCCAATTTTGCCCACAGTGATGTCCCACAATTAGCCAGGAGTGAATGACCATTTTTTTCCATTTGGGAGATTGTTAGCCAGTACACTGAGAGAAACGCCTTTCTTTTTTCAAATAGTGCAATCTTTAACATCCATCTGAACAGGCACAGACGAGGAGCTCACTTCTTTGATTTATCATCTCATCTGAAAGACATGGAAGAAATTCAAACATTGACAGAATTGGGGTGGATCCAAAAAAAATCCTCCTCCTCACCTTAAATCTGCACAGTATACATGTACTGTCACAGCGATTGTATGACCTCTGGTTGAGCCTGCCTCTCCCAGTGTTCTGTAAGAAGCTTCACTGTAAATAATTCAGAATGAATGTTCTCCGTTCTTTTCGACAGGGAAATATTGTGGGAATTTGTGTTTGTTTACAAGGTTCATTTGTTTTTTTGTTCATTGTTACGCTTTGTATGTTGAATGTTTACAATGTTTGCATTCAAGAAAAGTTTATTTAAAAAAGATGCATGGAGTTTGATATGGGGGTGTGGTGTGATGGTACCTGGGGCAGCGATGAAGGGGGAACAAAAACACTTCCTCCTTCCCTCTCCCTGACACTCTATGTGCAGATTCAGCTGGAGAGAATGGCTTAAAAAGGTGTGTGGCTGTAACTGGGGTGTTTCCTGTCAAAAATATAAGAATTGCCATCATATTTAAATTAATTCAAAATCTCATTTAAACTACTAGTTAAAGGTACACAATTTCATATTATGTGATTTCCTGTTTCTAAGTGTAGAATACCCAGGAATAAAATAGCGCTGCTTGGACCCAAGGACTGTGTTTTCAGTGTCACAGAGCATGTTGGCTGTCAGTGCCTTTATAATGCCAGAAGCAAGTCAAGCAAAGAACACTGAATAAACAATAATGATAAAAATAATCCTTGCATTTGCGACAGCTCCTTTCACATTGGAAGGATGTCTCAAAGTGCTTCACAGGATTTGCTGAAAAGTGTAGTGACTCTTTATTTTGTAGGCAAAATAATAGTAATATCAATAATCTTTATATTTAGTACAGCGCTTTTCACATCGGGTAGACATTTCAAAGCAGTTCTGTAAAGTGCAGTGACGGTCTGTTTTGTGGGCAAACAATATAGGCCAATGGACTCCACAGAAGAGATTCTTTTAAGGATATTTCTTGCTGGAAGTGATCCAAGGCTTTAATTGTACCTTGGAAATTACACACCAAACAACTTGCATTTATATCGAGCCTTTCATGTCTCAAAACTAGCACGTCAGTGACAAGGAAACTCTTGACAACAGTGTTTGCACCAAAATCTGCTAGTCAGAAAGAAAGAAAGATTAGCGACTTGTAAAATATTGGGGATTATTAATGGTTGATACCACTTTAGTGATTTAAAGATGTGACTTCAAGATGTGGAATCAGCTGAAGAACCATTCACTTTGAATATGTACCCAGGGCTCAATAAAATGATCCTAGACTCATCACTCCAGATATCCATCGTTGTTGTTAGAGTATTTTCTGGCAGTTCCCTCACTAACATAGTTGCTTAGGTACTAATCACAATGTGAATGTCACTATAGCATAGCTTTGGTGTTACCTTCAGAACAGCAGTTGAGTGGATGTTGGTGAAAGGCAGCATCATAATTAGGGATATCATAAACTGGGGGACAAAAGCTCTAATACATTGCAAATGCCATTTCTAATCCTAGATTGCATGATAACCTACAATTAAGACTAAAACACAACTGCAATTTTATGTAATACATGGTGGTTAGCTATTTTTGTACTGAAGAATGGTGTTCTGATGCCATGTATTTTGTGTGTTGGTGGCTGTCTGCCAGCGGCTTGCATGCCAGATCTTCTGATGACTGCGGTTTGTATGTCGTGAGATATAATTATTGTCGATTCCCTTACTTTAACAGAAACCCATCATGGAACAGGAGAGCCCAGTGATTCAAGAAAAAGCTAGCTGATGTGAACATGGCATAACCAGTCAACAAAGCTTTGTCAGTGGCAACACAACTATCAAAACAGAATTCAGAAGATACGCAGGTCCTGGGAACTGTGAGCAATGGCAAGGAATATCTTTGATCAAATAAAATAATGGGTATTGAGCACTGTTGTTTCACAACTTGTACTTATGTTCAAAAGAGTTGATACTGATGACTTCTCAATCTGCTGGTCCTTGCTCGATTGAGTTTGGGAATGAAATGGCAGCCTCAACCCAGTTCCTCTTGAGCAAGAGCTAGTGGCAGCAAACTGACATCGAAATAGCAATCTCACCGAAAGAGGCTTTAAAGATGAATCCTCTGAGGAGTTAAGCAAATGCAGTTGGAGATGCTTTCCGTTGGTTGGGGCTTTGTCACATTGTTGGAGCTCAGTATATCAGTGGAAGATAACACATAGCATGTTGAGGGCATTTGAACAGAAGTCAAACTCAGCTTATTCAAACCTTGAACAGATTGCTGTCAGAGCTGCATTTGGAATAGTGGGTGTCATTTGGGGCATTTGACCTTCAAAAGAATATTGATATATTTTATGGGGGTAAAGAGGTCAAGAATAACAACAAGGACAATTCGAGGATTTGGGCTGTAAAAAGGAGATGTGAGCCTGGCCTTTAAATTGCAAAAGGACAGAGATCATACAAATGTAAGTTGGTGGTTTAACTCTGTCTCTGAGCCCAAAACCAGGAATTATCAGCCTCACATGACATGAGATCAGAATATTGCTTTTCTCCAAACTTGAAAGAGGTTTCCAGCAAAAAGCAGCGGAGGCCGTGTCAATTGACTGCTTTACAATACAACACAATTTACATTTATATAGTGCCTTTCATGTCGGGAGGACATCTCAAAGTGCTTCACAGTCCTGGCTGGGCACTTGAGCTAGGAGTGGGAGTAGGGGAGGGGTAGAAAAGAACAAGAAAGATTTCTGGCTGCAAACAAAAATGTCACGATTTATATCCTCACTGGATTCGGTTTAAATTCACAGTCTCGTTCTTATGAGGCAAAATTCCCAAGAATTTGTCAAGTAGTGTCTTGAAAATATCATTATTTATTGAATGAATTCAAGGACATGCAATGCCTTGAAACAGCTAAAGTAGTAAATGATTGAGAAAAAGTAAAATTAAAAATAAAACAAGCTTCAGATATTCTCAAAAGCCCATCAATATCCAGAGTAATGTTCACCCCAGAATTCTTTCAAATATAATCTTCCCTTCTCACAAGATACTCTCTCTTTCTCTGTGTCTTCCACAACAATTTCAACTCACTCTTCTACCTGAAAAGCAACAAAGTCCAACACCATGTTATTTCATAACCAGACCACTCTTCCACTCCATTTCAAAACATACAACAAAACAGTTACAAATAAAAATAAACTTTAATAGATAAATTGTCACGTGAGGATTAGATGTTCTTGTTATATCCTGAAATAATGAAGTAATTTGTGCTGTTGCCCTGTGCTGCCTGCACAGCGCTGCCTGCCAACCATCAGTGGTCAGGCTTTCAGCCTTTCTGCCCCAATCTCCAGACCTCCAACCCGGAGCACCTCTGCCTCACCCCCTCTTTTTAACTCCTTCAAAATCTGTCTCAAGTCTTTCCTCTTTGACCATGCCTTTGATCACCCTCCCACTTCTACCCCACCCCTCCCACCTCCTCGCTCTTCACCCCCTCTTATCTCCAACCCCCATCTCGGATGCAAGCCCTTCATGGTCCACCACCTTGGGATGTCCTCCCAGCATGAAAGGCGCAACATAAATGCAATTTGTTGTTGGTTGGTGTCAGCTTGGCGAGGTTGAAGTGCTCTCGCCTCTGAGTCAGAAGGTTGTGGGTTCAAATACCACATCAGGACTTGAACTCACATTGTCTAAGTGAACGATGCAGTGCTGAGGGTGTGTTGCATTGTTGGAAGTGCCGTACTTCAGGTGAGATCTTAAAACACAAAATATACAGTCAATTCACTTTACACGTGAAGCGCTTTGAGACATCTCGATGACATTGCTGTGCGCAGTTGTGCTGCAGTTTGCCACAGTCACTCCACTTCACAGTAAAATCCTCCCAAAGTGATGAGTAAAATGCGTGGGACGCCGCCGTGCGCGATTGGCTGCCGCGTTTTCGCCCGCAAACCCACGGTCAGTTCACCTTACAGCATATGTCCGTGAAGCGCTTTGAGACGTCTGGAAGCCGTGAAAAGCGCCGTATCAATTGCAAGGATTATTATTATTATTATCATTATTATTATGAAATATTACAGGGCGGTGGGAAGTGATGAGGTGTGAGTGTGTGTGTGAGAGAGAGGAGTCCCGGGTGAGTGAATGAGTGTGTGTGTGTGTGTGTTGGCTACACACTGACTGTTGCTGAGGAGAGAGGAGAGGAGAGAGAGAAGAGAGAGGAGAAGAGAGGAGAGAGAGAAGAGAGAGGAGAGAGAGAGCAGCCGCTGATGTCGCTGCTGTTCTGCAGCAACGAATAAGACCTCCGAGAGCTCAGGTGTGTGGGAGTCGGAGCGCTGCGGCTGTGGCTGCGGCGCACATCACCGGACTGTTTGGTTTGCGTCGGAGGTTTTCTCTCCCCCTCTCCTCCTTCCCATCCCCTCTCTCTCTCTCTCTCTCCCCCCACCGCCCCTCCACTCCCTCCTCACACCCCCCCCACCCCCTCCTCACACACACACCCCCCCACCCCCTCCTCACACACCCCCCACCCCCTCCTCACACACACACCCCCACCCCCTCCTCACACACACACCCCCACCCCCTCCTCACACACACACACCCCCACCCCCTCCTCACACACACCCCCCCCCCCTCACACACACACCCCCACCCCCTCCTCACACACACACCCCCACCCCTCCTCACACACACCCCCACCCCCTCCTCACACACACACCCCCCCCTCACACACACACCCCCACCCCCTCCTCACACCCCCCCCCCCCACCCCCCTCCTCACACCCCCCCCCCCCACCCCCTCCTCACACACACACTCCCACCCCCTCCTCACACACACCCCCATCCCCTCCTCACACACACACCCCCACCCCCTCCTCACACACACCCCCACCCCCTCCTCACACACACACCCCCACCCCCTCCTCACACACACACCCCCACCCCCTCCTCACACACACACTCCCACCCCCCTCCTCACACACACACCCCCACCCCTCCTCACACCACACCCCCACCCCCTCCTCAGACACACCCCCCCCCCCTCACAACACACCCCCACCCCCTCCTCACACACACCCCCACCCCCTCCTCACACACACACCCCCACCCCCTCCTCACACACACACCCCCACCCCCTCCTCACACACACCCCCACCCCTCCTCACACACACACCCCCACCCCCTCCTCACACACACACTCCCACCCCCTCCTCACACACACACCCCCACCCCCTCCTCACACACACACCCTCCTCACACACACACACACCCCCACCCCCTCCTCACACACACACCCCCACCCCCTCCTCACACACACACCCCCTCCTCACACACACACACACCCCCCACCCCCTCCACACACACACACACACCCCCACCCCCTCCTCACACACACCCCCACCCCCTCCTCACACACACACCCCCACCCCCTCCTCACACACACCCCCACCCCCTCCTCACACACACCCCCACCCCCTCCTCACACACACACCCCCACCCCCTCCTCACACACACACCCCCACCCCCTCCTCACACACACACCCCCACCCCCTCCTCACACACACCCCCCCACCCCCTCCTCACACCCCCCCCCACCCCCTCCTCACACACACACTCCCGCCCTTCAGAAAACAACCCTCAGCCGAGAAGGGGGAGCAGCAGAGCGAAGGCTGTGCCCATCACACACCGCCTGATCCCCGGGGGTCTCTCTCTCTCTCTCTGTGTCTCTCGCTGTGTCTCTCCTCATCTCCGCTCCCGCACCTTCAGAGGCCGTGAGTACAGCACAGCCACAGCCACAGCAGCAGCACAGGGTCCGGCTTCACTGGGACCCCCTCCACCTACTTTTCTCCCCCCCATCCCCATCCCCATCCCCATCCCACCTCGTCCCTCCCTTTCAGAACATCTCTTTTGCTTGTTCTCAATTTTTTTAATATCTATCTATCTGTATAATTTTTTACATATATATATAATATATATATATTTTTTGGGGGGGAGGCGATGCGAGAGAGAAAAAGGGGGTTTTGAGCAGCTCACAGCCAGCGGTGCTTAACACTGACCACACACCTATATACACACACACACACACATACACACACACACACACATACACATACACACACACACACACATACACACACACACATACACACACACACATACAGTGTATTTATACAGTACAGTGCAGCTCTCGGTGATTTGGGTTCATTTCCAGAAGGAATACGACGAGAAAAAGGTATGTGTGTGTATGTGTATGTGTGTGTTTTTGAGGGGTGGGGGGGGGGGCGTTGTAAAATGCAGTGGAATGGGGGTAAAATGCGGCTTTTTTTTTTGCTTTATTCGCTAAGAAGCTGACGTGGGGGGGGGGAGGGGGGTGGGGGGGGAGGGGGGTGGCGGGGGGTGGCGGGGGGAGGGGGGGGGGGGGGGGCTTTTCTGATTCAGTGAAAGATGTCTGGTGGCCGAGGAGGCGTCAGTCGCAGCGTTAAATCCCCCGACTCCCGATAATCCATCCATTCCTGTGTGTGTCCGTGTGTGTGTGTGTGTCTGTCTATGTGTGTGTGACTATGTGTGTCTGTGTATGTGTGTCTGTGAGTGTCTGTGTCTATGTGTGTGTGTCTATGTGTCTACGTGTGTCTGTGGCTATGTGTGTCTGTGAGTGTCTGTGTCTATGTGTGTGTGTCTATGTGTCTGTGTCTATGTGTGTGTTTATATGTGTCTGTGTGTCTGTGTCTATGTGTGTGAGTGTCTGTGTCTGTGTGTCTGTGTCTATGTGTGTGAGTGTCTGTGTCTATGGTGTGACTGTGTGTGTCTGTGTGTGTGTGTCTGAAGCACTGGGGGAGAGACTGGGAATCAGTTACTGTATATTGGAGTGATTTTTTTTTGGGTGTGAGGAAGAGGAAGAATTTGGCTGTTTTTTTTAATGCTTATTACCCTGTCCTG